GAGATGGAGGGCGAGGTCATGGTGATAAGGTCCCGGGAGGTCGTAGAGAGAACTTGAACATTGAGGCGGATCGTTCAAATTGACGCGATTCACATACACAGCCTAAAGAGCAAAAACAGGTTTTCTTTAGATGTGGATGCAATGGTTATTGGTCCCGCACATGTCGTACTCCTCGAATCTAGTTGAGGCCTATCAAAGAATGCTCAAGGACAAGAAAGGAAAGGCTCCTCAAGGTTAATCACATCATGCTATTTTGCCTGAAGCAAATTTAGCCATCAATGATGATGATGATGATTTATTGAAGCTTGAGCTCGAGGACTATGGTGACGATGTGTGATTATATGCATTTATTTCATGATTTGTTTCATGCTATTCGACAGTTCTGATTTTTGTTTCGTCAGACATTTGTGGTTTGTTTTTTGCTATTGGTATGTTTTCATATGTTATGTTTTGATTAGAATTTCATGATTGTTTCGTTTGCTTACAATGTTTTACTTTTCTTTTAGTGTACCACAACCATTCATTAGTTTGCATCTTTTGAAGAAAGAGGGCATTTATGTTTGGTCGATAGTGCTAATACGCACACTATTTTGAAAGATAGGAAATTTTTTCAAACGTTAAATGAAAAGAAAAGGAGTGTTTCTACAATTGTTCATGATAAAATATTGATAGTAGGCTCCGGCAGAGCTTTACTTACTCTTCGTAAGGGTACCGAATTAATAATTAACGATGCGCTTTTGTACCCTGAATCACAAAGAACACTCCTTAGTTTTAAAGATATTCGATCTAATGGTTTTCATCTTGAAACTAAGACTGAAAACAATATAGAGTATCTTCTTATGACTAATTCACAAGGAAGTCAAAATAAAATTGTAGAAGAACTTCCCTCTTTCTCCTCAGGCTTGTACCATACTTACATTAGACCTTCTATTACTCATGTTGCATTGAGCTTAAAATTTTAAGACCCAAATTCATTTAAATTATGGCATGAGCGATTGGGTCATCCTGGGCTTAGTATGATGCGTCTGATTATTTTTAACTCTATTGGGCATGTCGTATCAAGCAGCAATCTCCCTTCTTTTAATGAATTTATTTGTGATGCTTGTGCAAAGGGAAAATTAATATTAAGAACTTCACGTAATAAAGTTGGGATTGAACCTCCTATGTTCTTTCATAGGATTCAAGGTGACATATGTGGCCCTATTCATCCCACTTCGGGACCTTTTCGGTATTTTATGGTATTGATAGATGTTTCCACTCGATGGACATATGTGTGTTTATTATCCACTAGAAATCAGGCTTTTCCAAAGCTCCTTGCTAAAATTATTGAATTAAGAGCTCAATTTCCTGATTATCAAATTAAAACTATTAGAATGGATAATGCCGATGAATTTACATCGAAAGCTTTTGATGATTACTGTATGTCACTGGGCATCAAAGTGGAGCATTCGGTACCTTATGTCCACACACAAAATGGTCTAGCCGATTACTCATTAAGCGCATCAAATTAATTGCTAGACCATTGTTACAAAATTCCAACTTATCAATTTCATGTTGGGGACATGCAATTTTACATGCTGCTGCCCTAATTCAAATCCAACCTACTGCATATCATAATTACTCCCCTATACAACTAGTGCGTGGTAAAGAAGCTAACATTTCCCATCTGCGAGTATTTGGTTGTGCAGTCTATGTTCTCATATCATCACCACAGCGTACCTCTATGGGCCCTCACAGAAAACTAGGTATATATATTGGCTATGAACCTCCGTCTATTCTCAAATACCTAGAGCCCATGACTGGGGATCAATTTACAGCTCGGTACGCTGACTGTATATTCGATGAAGAGAATTTTCCGGCATTAGGGGGAGATAAAAGCCCAAACTCAAACAAATGTCGAGAATTTTCTTGGAATGTAGAAAATTTACAATATTCTAGATCCACGCACTAATCAAACTGAACTTGACGTTCAAAATATAATTAATTGCAATATTTAGCAAATAATTTGCCAGATGCATTTACTGATCATAAAAGAGTGACCAAATCGCATGTACCTTCTATAAATGCACCACAACGAGTGGAAGTCCCCATGAGACACAAATATATATATGAAAATCCCTGAAGGATTTTTCCCGAAATAAGGGAAAATGAAATACGCAACATGTATAGCATTAAATTACAAAAGTCATTATATGGTTTAAAACAGTCGGGTAGAATATGGTACAACCGACTGAGTGAGTTTTTGTTGAAAAATAATTATGTGAATAACGATGTGTGCCCCTATGTGTTTATAAAGTAGTCAACGAATGACTTTTGCATCATTTCAGTTTATGTCGATGACATAAATATAATTGGCACACGAGAGGAGCTTGATAAAGCTAGCTCATGCCTAAAGACGGAGTTTGAAATGAAAGATTTGGGTAAAACCAAATATTGTCTTGACCTGCAGATCAAGAATCTCCCTGAAGGAATATTTGTAAACCAGTCAACCTACTTGAAGAAGGTTTTAGAAAAATTCTACATGGATAAATCTCATCCACTTAGCACACCAATGGTTGTTCGGTCCCTTGAAGCGGATAAGGAACCCATTTAGACCTAAAGAAGATACCAAAGAAAATATTGGACCAGAAGTTCCTTACTTGAGCGCCATTGGCGCGTTACTTTATCTTGCAAATTGCACCAGACCTGATATTGCATTTGCGGTAAACTTGCTAGCAAGGTTTAGTGCTTCTCTTACGAGGAGACACTGGAATGGTATTAAACATATTTTTAGGTATCTTCAAGGTTTACAAGATCTTGGTTTACTTTATAAGAAAAATCAAGATATGACATTGGTAGGCTATTCGGATGCTGGTTATATGTCTGATCCCCATAATGCTAGATCACAGACTGGTTATGTTTTTCTTTGTGGTGGTACTGCAATCTCTTGGAAGTCGGTCAAGCAGTCCATGGTTACTACATCTTCAAATCATTCAGAAATAATTGCTTTATACGAGACTTCACGCGAATGTGTATGGTTGAGATCTTTAATCCAACATATTCGTGGATCATGTGGAATTACAAATGATATAACCCCC